AAGTTTTTAAATTTAAAAAACATGGGATTGAAACATAACCTTGCGCAGAGATTCAGATCTCAAAGCATGGCAGGGTTTCCCTATAAGGATTTCAGATTCTTTGTCCCAACAAACAAAAGTCTCATTAGCAGTAGCATCCGATATGAGCAAGTTCATCTTGTACCTAAAATTAAAATGAAAAAAATCAAATTACCATGGAAAATCAATGGACAAAAGTAAAGTACACCATCAACAAATATAGAGTTACAAACCTAAACTTCCCGGCTTCTTTTGAGCATTTGGGACACTTGAAGCCATTGTCCGAATTAATCATCTTGCTGCTACAACTTCGGCAAGCAAAATACCACCAATTGTCCACAATAGAGTCAATCAAGGCGCATACCCACATGGTCTTGGGCTTCATCAAAATTAAAAAAAAGAATTGCATATCAAAATAAAGTTAATACATATATATTTCAATAAAGTTTAGTAAACATGACTTATAAAATATCTATACCTCTTTAGTTTCGAACAAAGCATACACCGAAGAAACTTGCTTCTCACCCGACAGCAACTCATCTAGTTCCGTCTTGACGACAGTTTTTGAATTTGAAGTGTAGCTTTTCAACTTCAGGTTGCTTGTAGAGTACCTATTAAATTTAAAAACAATGAAGTTAAGTATAGATGTAAATATATATATATATATATAAATTTAGCCATATGCAAACATTATAATTGTATAATAAATTTTACCTTGTCCAAAAGTCACGGATTTCATCGACAGAGTCATGGGCGATCAACTTCGTGACATTCAATGAAGTGGTAACTTGTACCTTTTCTGCAAAGGTATTAAACATTATAATGTGAAGAATACAAAAATGATTGGTAAAGAGAGGATAAATTAGTAGATAAACAAAATTGCATGTGATGAAGATACAAATTAAATAATTTACATTAAGTCGATTAGTATATTAAATAAATGGAATATATATAATTAATTCGAACATTTAAAGTAAAGTAATAATTCAAATCACTTAGATTTAAATGAATTCAAACAAAAACAATGCAATTTTTGTACATAAAAATTAATAACTATACAACATCAACATTCTATTACCTATTTCCATTAATATAATATGAAAACAGCATGTTTTGAAAATAGAAATCAAGGAAATTAAGTAATAAAAGTATTAGATAAACAACATGTGTTGACAATAAAAATTAAATAATTTACATTATTCGATTATTATAATAACTAAACAGCATATATATGATTAATTCGACCTTATATAAATTCAATTAATTTCGAATTAATATGCTTTGTTTAACTAAACAGCATGTTTTGAAAATATAAATCAAGTATTTTAAGTAATAAAAGCATTAGTTAAACAAACAACATGTGTTGAACATAAAAAATAATTAATTTACATAATTCTCAAAATAATTTACATAATTTACATAATAAAAGTATTAGTTAAACAAACAATACTTAAAATTTAAAACAATACTTAAAATAATACTTACGCAAGTATTCTCTGGCCCGTACAAGTTGCATGATTAGTACCCATGGTTGTCCAGTTTTTTCATAATGGCTTTCGAAACCCAAAAGTTGATCGACATACTCACCCCAGACCGTGCAATTTATGAAATTTTCACTGCATTAAAATCCAAAAA